CAGCTGAGGCGACTGTCTAAGCTGAAGCCCATATTGTCCAGAAATAACATGGAGACAGTAATTCATGCATTCATTACATCCAGGCTCGACTATTGCAACTCACTCCTTTTTGGTATCAGTCAGACCTCCATAGCTAGACTCCAACTGGTCCAAAATGCAGCAGCCCGGTTTTTGACCAGCACAAGCAAAAGAGAACACATTACTCCTGTTTTGGCCTCCCTACACTGGCTTCCAGTTCACTTACGAATCAAATTCAAAATACTCTTGTATGTCTATAAATCACTAAACAGCTCTGCCCCCTCCTATCTTACTGATCTGCTCCAGCCGTATGTCCCACCACGTTCTCTCAGATCAGCAGACCAGTTGCTCCTAACAGTCCCAGGAACCCGCCTCAAGCGCAGAGGTGACAGGGCCTTCTCTGTAGCAGGCCCAAAACTTTGGAATGAGTTACCTCTGCTCGTTAGACAGGCCCCCTCCCTCACAGTTTTTAAATCTCTCTTAAAAACACACTTCTATTCCCTGGCTTTCTGCACTGTGTGATCTGTGCTGAGTCTGTGTGCATCACACTGTGTTGGTCATGTTGCGGTTGTTGTTGTTATCCATTATTGTTTTTGTCGGTTTCTACATTTTTGGTGTCCTGTTATGTAATCTGTTGCTATGTGCTTGTTCTGTTTGTCCCTGTACAGCACTTTGGTGTGCTTTGTCACTGTTTAAAGTGCTATATAAATAAATTGGTATGGTATGGTAAGATCAACATCATCAGGCCAGGACTCTGAGGTCTACACTCATCTCCAGGTCAGAGGTCACTCTTTCAGGGATGAAGATGTTCACATCCTGGACAGAGAGGAACAATGGTTTGAGAGAGGAGTAAAGGAGGCCATCTTTGTGAAAATAAACCATCCATCATTAAACAGGGGTGGAGCCTCCGGGTTCAACTGTCCCCCTCTTACAATGCTGTGATTGCTAGTATCACTCAGCCCTCTGTGAGTAGTAAACAGCCATCAGGTGCTAATGATCCATTGTTAGGCTGATGGTCCTTCTTGAGCATGTGATCAGCTGGTTCTGGTTGTCAGCAGCAAACTGGTTGATCCACTCGGAGAAGGTGCTATTTAAGAGACTGAGCTGAATACAGCACCTCAGACTGAGGAAGTCTCTTGGATGAGAGACGAAACATTTCTATATTTTCTTGCTTTGTTTTGTTGTTAATTTTTTTGAATGTCCAGAGGACCAGATTGAACTTTTTTGATTTTTCTACCTGGATTATTGAGCATGCATCAGGATGCATTATGTAATATTAACGAGTTAATCATTTTAGATTAATCGTATGCGTTAACACGTTAATGTTAACAGCTATAGTTATAACACAAATAACACATATGAATGTGTTGTATTAAAATAAAAAAATAATTGACGTAATTGGATTTCATTCTGGATTAACGATTTGAACTATTTTTACCCTATATAAAGAAGCCAGAAGACTTTAAAAAAAGGCACTACATAAAAAATAAATTGAATTGAATAAGTTTAAACTTGATCATATTTTTTAAATATACAACACTAACAGCATTAAACAAACCTGAATATTTTGCCAGAAATAAAATATTACCAATCACAAATGATGTTCATGTTACCTTGGATAACAGCTTTCAGGATGAAGTTATCAGATACTAGTTTCACCAGTGGCCCTTTACGAATCACTTTTCCCTAGAAGTAAAAAAATAATAATATTCACACATGTTAAAAAAACATTTACTGTAATCCTCAGACTTGAGAACACACCTGTGTCTAAACCTCACTTATTAAATATATAAAAAATCCTAATTTTGTACATAAATAAGACACCTGAGTTATTAAGCCACGGGCATTCACTGTTCAGAATCTGTGCCCAATCTGTTCCGGATGTGTGCAGCTTCCTTGTAGTACAAGAATCAGCCAGCAGATGGTTTTTCACAGAATATAGCTTGCTTTCAACACACACTCAGACTGTAAGATCATCACCGTCTTCATTAGGCTTCGCTGTGTGACTCATGGTTACAACCATTAGACCTTAAAAATGAACACAACTAAGCATAATCAGTGGACAGAACAGTGCCAAACACCTATGTAACTGAAATTATTTTTAAATTATTTACTGGTAAAACCCAGTCTTATCTAGGTTATGTGACCGGAAGTCAAATAAGTACCGGTAGAATGCGGTAAATGTTCATTAAATTTGTACGATTGATTTTTAATGGTAAACACTTTTTTTTAACAACTAATGCTTTTAAATGCACTTTCTAAATAAATTTGATGCAATTTCTGCTCAGCAAAGAGCTCAAATGAGCAGGACGGGGAAAGAGCCCAGACGTCTCCTCAGTTCTGTTTAATGCCCCTGTTTAAGCTTAAATGAGATACTGGAATTTAAAAACATATCTACCGGACACAAAAAGATTTTTTAAAACTTTTATTTACAGTGAGAAAAACAAGTATTTGAACACCATTCAACTTTGCAAGTTCTCCCACTTAGAAATCATGGCGGGTCTGAAATGTTCATCTTAGCTACATGTCCACTGTGAGAGACTGAATCTAAAAATAAAAATCTACAAATCATAATGTATGATTTTTTTTTTATATAATTTATTTGTGTGTTACTGCTGCAAATAAGTATTTGAACACCTGTGAAAATCAATGTTAATATTTGGTACAGTAGCCTTTGTTTGCAGTTACAGAGGTCAAATGTTTCCTGTAGTTTTTCACCAGGTTCACTGCAGCAGGATTTTGGTCCATTCCTCCACACAGATCTTCTCTAGATCAACCAGGTTTCTGGGCTGTCGCTGAGAAACAGTTTGAGCTCCTTCCAAAGATTTTCTATAGGGTTTAGGTCTGGAGACTGGCTGGGCCACTCCAGAACTGTGATACGCTTCTTACGGAGCCACTCCTTGGTTCTCCTGGCTGTGTGCTTCGGGTCATTGTCATGTTGGAAGACTCAGCCATGACTCATCTTCAATGTTCTAACTGAGGGAAGGAGGAGGTTCCCCAAAATATCACAATACATGGCCCCGGTCATCCTCTCCTTAATACAGTGCAGTCGTCCTGTCCCATGTGCAGAAAAACACCCCCAGAGCATGATGCTTCCACCCCCATGCTTCACAGTAGGGATGGTGTTTTTGGGATGGTACTCATCATTCTTCGTCCTCCAAACACAGCGAGTGGAATTAAGACCAAAAAGTTCCATTTTGGCCATGATGGACTGTTCCAGCCCCGTTTTCCCTGCACTCCTCGGCCCTATAGACGTGTGGTGAATCTTCACAACCTGCGACCTCTTCGCCGGGAATCTCGGACGTCAGATGGTGGCGGAGATCCGCCAATCTCTGCCAGGATCGGTCTGATAAATGCTAGGTCGCTAGCAAACAAAACCTTCGCCATTAAGGATTACTTTTCCTCTCAAAGCCTGGATTTCTTATTCATAACGGAATCTTGGACAACTGGTATGGGTGAGTCCAGCGTTTTTAATGAACTCTTGCCGCAAAACTGCTGCTATTTCAATTTTCCAAGGATGTCTGGACGAGGAGGAGGAATAGTAACGGTTTTTAAAAGCTGTTTTACTTGTAAACAGTTGCATCCAGTCCGTTTTGGTAGCTTTGAGCTTGGTCTCTTTGAACTTCTTAGCTCCCACACAGTGTTGTGTGCGGTGGTCTATCGGCCCCCTAAATATAACAAAAATTTTATAAGTGATTTTTCTGATTTCTTGGCTGATATCATGCCACGATATGACAGAGTTTTATTGGTTGGTGATTTTAATATTCGTATCTGTTGTCCTACTTCACCTATGGCTCAGTCGTTTCTTAATGTTATTGAGTCTTTTAATCTTGTGCAGTCTGTAACTGGTGCTACCCATGAGCATGGACACACTCTTGACTTGGTTTTATCTTATGGTCTACCAGTTTTTAATTTAGTGATTGGTGACCCATTATTTTCAGACCATATGCCTGTTTTATTTGAGATAAAGCAGTCTATTACTAAGGTTAAACCATGTGCACCAGTTCGGTTCTGTCGTGTTCTTAACCCTTCTACTGCTGTTCAGTTTTCTTCTGTTTTTAATAAGAACTGTACAATCCCAGAGACTGTCAGAAATAAAACCGAGGATATCAGCAACTGGTTTTATTCTACTAGCAAAGCAGCTCTGGATTCGGTGGCACCGTTAAAAACTAGACTTGCAAAATCCAAACATGAACCCTGGTTAAATGACGACACTCGGGCTGCCAGGAGGAACTGTCGTAAAGCTGAACGAAAATGGCAAAAGGATAATTTGCAGGTGTCGCTGCAAATATTAAAGGAATGCTGGCGCTGTTATCAAAGGATTGTAAAAGACGCTAAAAGAAGATACCTGACAAATATAATTGTATCAAACAGTTGCAATCCAGCTATTTTATTTAAAACTATTAACTCTGTTCTAAATGCCCCACATGGTGCTTTTGTGGAGACTTCCCCAGCTGTTTGTGAAAGCTTTTTAAACTTTTTTGTTGAGAAAGTCACTTCTATTAGGGCTCAGATCATACCCATTGTGTATGACCCTATTGATACTGTGTCTTGCCCTGCTGTTTTTAATAGCTTTGAATGTGTGACTTTGCAATCCCTGCAGGAGGTCGTTAGTCACTTGAAGCCAACTGGTTCTCCAGATGATGCTATTCCACCTCGACTGTTCAATGAGGTTTTTCATACTATAGGTCTGTCGATCCTTGCTCTTGTTAATAGTAGCTTGTCCTCAGGTGTTGTTCCTGAAAATCTGAAACATGCAGTTGTCCAGCCTCTAATTAAGAAATCAAATTTGGATCCTGCTGTCCTAGCGAACTACAGACCAATTTCAAAATTGCCTTTCATCTCGAAAATTCTTGAGAAGGTAGTTTATAAGCAACTAATGTCTTATCTCATTGAACATAATATTTTAGAGATTTTCCAATCTGGTTTTAGATCACTTCATAGCACAGAGTCAGCTCTCTTAAAAGTTTTTAACGATATATTTTGGGCAACTGATTCTGGTGATTGTGTTGTTTTGGTGTTGTTGGATTTATCAGCTGCTTTTGACACAGTTGATCACACGATTTTAATTGCTCGTCTGGAACAATATGTGGGCCTTGGTCAAACAGCTCTAGACTGGTTTAAGTCTTATTTGACAAAACGCACTTTTTGTGTCTGTCTTGATGGCAATAGATCATCCTCTGCTCCTCTATCATGTGGTGTTCCGCAGGGCTCAGTCTTGGGTCCTCTTTTGTTCTTATTGTATCTCCTTCCTCTTGGCTCTGTTTTTAGGAAATACGGGATTGCTTTTCATTGTTATGCTGATGACACGCAGATTTATTTACCTTTAAAGAAAGCAGATTCCACTTCTCTTCGGTCTCTGTTTCTATGTTTGGAGGATTTGAAGGCATGGATGGCCCAAAATTTCTTGAAATTAAATGAAGACAAGACAGAGGTAGTGATTTTTGGCAGCTCGAATGAAGACTCTCTGCCTGTTGACTGCTCTTTGGCTCAGTATGTCAGGCCAGTTGTTACAAATTTAGGGGTCAAGATGGATGCTGGTCTTAGGATGGAGTCTCAAATTAAAACAGTTGTAAAGTCAGGCTTTTTTCATTTGAGGCAGCTGGCTAAAGTAAAACCAATTCTTCCCAGACAGCATTTTGAAACAGCAATCCATGCATTTGTGACCACACCGCCACCGGTGTATGAATGTGCGTGTGAATGGGTGGATGGCTGGTACTGTAAAGCGCCTTGGGGCCCCTCATAGGGGGCTGGAAGGCGCTATAGAAGTAAGCTCCATTTACCATTTACCATTTACCACACGGCTAGATTACTGCAATGCACTTTACATAGGTATTAGTGATTCATGTATTTCCCAGCTTCAGAGGGTTCAGAATGCAGCTGCACGACTTTTAACAGGTACACGGAAATTTGACAGTATTTCTCCTGTTTTGGCCTCTTTACATTGGTTGCCGGTGCATTACCGGATTCATTTTAAAATACTTTTATTTGTTTTTAAAGCTTTAAATGGCCATGCCCCTCCATACCTGTCTGAGCTGCTACATTCTTACACACCCTCTCGTTCACTCAGGTCAGCTGACCAGTTGTTTCTGAAGGTCCCGAAGACAAAGCGTAAGCTTAGAGGGGACCGAGCTTTTTCTGTGATAGCTCCCAGGCTCTGGAATGACCTTCCATTGAACATAAGACAGGCCTCTTCAATTGAGGTTTTTAAGTCCCTTCTTAAAACTCATCTTTTTTCTTTGGCCTTTTAGCACAATCTGAGATGTTTTACCTTGTTTTATTGTGTTTGTATTTTATTTTATTATTTTATTCCTGTTTTAAATTTTACCCTTCCATTTTATCATTGTATTGTATTATATAATTGTGTAAAGCACTTTGGTCCTGTTGGGTGCATAAAGTGCTCTATAAATAAAGTTGGTATGGTATGGTATGGTATGGTCTCATCTGACCACATAACTTTCTCCCATGACTCCTCTGGATCATCCAAATGGTCATGGGCAAACAAGACGGGTCTGGACGTGTGCTGATTTAAGCAGGGGAACCTTCCGTGCCATGCGTGATTTTAAACTATGACGTCTTAGTGTATTACCCACAGTAACCATGAAAACGGTGGTGCCAGCTCTCTTCAGGTCATGGACCAGCTCCTCCCGTGTAGTTCTGGGCTGATTCCTCACCTTTCTTAGGAT